CTTACATGTATTGGTATGTAGATAGTTGGAGAAAGCATGAGTCTTCATTGCCTACATTTAAACCCGAAGAGAACAAACCTTGCTATCACAATCATATAAGCAAAAGATAGATTATTTACTTAACCAAGATGAAATTTGTAAAGATATCAAAGTATCCAAAACATCTAGCCAAATGAAATGGTTAAGTAAATAATTGGGGGTGAGGGCCGGGGACTATAAGATGTTGATGGCAATGTGTGCCTACCCAAGCGTATGGCATAATTGTGAAATCCAAAAGGCTCATATGTTGATTGACTAAACCAAAAAAGACCATAATAATCCAAATCCTTAAGAGGGTTAAAAAGTTAAAGTAGAAAGGTGTTTGGATTTTTGGATCAAAGCAAAGAGAAAGTACATTGATTGAACAAGGCACTCCAAATAAACTCTCTGTACAATGATAGAACAATTTGCTATTCTTGTTTTCCTCGTTATATGTTTCTTCTTTGTTATTGATGGCTTGTGATTCTTATCTTTCTCTGCATCATGCTATTTTTGCCATATTGGACTTGAATAATGAACATTTTTTTTTGTCATCTTTTTTTAACTTATACAGGTAGTTTGATCTATAGTTTCATTCCTACTTTTGTTTTAGAGTAGTCTAGAGCACGTTGTCCTTGTTCTAAAATTAAGTAGTTCAGAAGTCCAATATACTCTCTTACAGAACCAAAAGAGTGAAAACAATCATCAATACATGGTTGAAGAAGTGCCAAACGGCCAAATAAACTTACAAAACCAAAAGAGTGCAAGAACCCCCCAAAGAAACAGAACAGACCTTGGTACTTTCTGGATATCACCGATGTTGATTTTCCGCTGTAAATCTATCAAAAACAAAAACTTGTCACAAACTATTCTTTCATTTACAAATCTGTCAAAAACAAAAATTTTATGACCTAGAGATTGTGGGTTTTTTTCTTAACGTGAAGAGTGCAAGGCTTTTCCCCATTCTTACTCTTACTAGAGGCCACAAAATCTATGGTTTTTTTACGGCACTGCAGCAATCAACATCAAAATTCATTTAAACCCTAGGCAATTTAGAAAATTGACTACCAAACAAAATATCAAATCGTAAAGAAAATTAAGAACAACGAAAGAAAAAAACCTGATGACAACTCCTGCATAAAACCGTTCGGCAAAGCAAAGCAAAACAAAATAGCAAAAGAGCAAAGAAAACCCAAACCAAAGCAAAATAGCAAATTAGCAAAACCAAATCTAATCATAAACATACGCCTCTGCAAATCAATTCCATTCCAACAAATCCTCCAAATCAAACGCATATGGATCCCTTATGGAGCATTATCCGCCTATGGCTCCTAGAGATCACCTTCTCCGGTGACCTATCCCCCTTGTTCAATTTCACGCATAGTAGGCTCAAAAATGTGTAATGGCCCTCATCGTCCCCTTATGGAGCATTATCCTAGACAATGACATAGTTTGCTACCAAGGTTTAGCATCACTTTAGCATAATGTAAAGTTCTCACTTCACTTTAAATAAACCAATTCTCCATATAAGGTCACTTATGAACATAGTTTATACACCAATATACCAAGAGTTTTTGCATAAACCGGCAACCAACAATTATCACACCATTGAAAATTACTCGACATAAGGATCCACGGCCTCCAAACACATATTAATCATTGCATTTAAATTTCATACCATAAGCGGTCATGTATATATTTTTGATGTAAGGAATGTGTGGTGGCCTTAAGGTTCCACGTATGGAGCAAACTTCATAGGCAATGACAATTATACTACCAAGGTTTAGCTAACTTCGACATATTGGTGGGGATGGCCGTTAGAGTGAAGCAAAGCATACTTACCAAGGAGTTCTGAACCAAAAAGGTTTAACAATATGCCAAGCGAAATGGTATACACCGGCAATACATTATTGTCATAACTTCAAATATCACTCGACACAAGGAACTAGGCCATAATACACAAATTAAACATCATAGCCATGGTGTATATGTACCTAAAAGTGCAGTAAAAAATTGAACTATCACATAGCCGTACTTTCACCTAAATCAAACAAAAGGCACCCAAAACATTAACATATAAACTCATATTCTCAGCAAAGAGATAGCAACATTACATTTTAGTGTTAAATTGAAGCGATCCATAAAAATTGTGGGCTAGCAATCGTATAAACTATGCACAAAACGTTGTTTTGCTCCACTGTACGTGCAAAACAGCTTACTACAAAAATAAGAACAGCTTACCTCCACACAGCAAAAAAATAAGTGTTCGGCTTTGGCTCTCCAAGGTTCTCTGATCAAACAAACAGGGCCTAAACCTTCCGCAGATTAAACCTTCAGTCCAAAGACTCCAAATACAGATCAAAGTTTCAAACCATGAACAAATAATCACAAATCCAAACAATAAAACAGATGAAATCATCAACATGAAAAGAAGTAAAAACCACAAACATAGATCAAATCATCAAAACGGGAAAAAAAAAAACAAAACAAAACAAAAAATGGACAGGGGAAAACGGAAAAAGAAAAAGAACTCGTTAGGTGGTCATTGAAATTCAGATCAGAGTCGATCTCCTTCACAAACTGCTTGGTTGACCACTTAGAGCCCGTTTGGTAAAGGGATTCGTTCCCTTATTCGAATCATGATTCGTGGTTCGCTACAGTATTTTCTCTCACAAAAAATACACGCGCCAAAACTGCTTCATGTCTTATATGAGAGTCAATTTAATTGGGATATGTTGAGTTTCTCTGATATTACTTACTCTCTCTATTAGTCTATTTACTTAAAAAAAAAAAAAGTCTTGAGTAGTTTTTTTGTATCAAATGCTTGCAAAAGGATGGTGCCAAAACTGCTTCATGTCTTAGATATAATTCAAATATAAACTACTCGGAATATAAAGGTTTGAGTTTGAGCGGCTTACGAGTTACGACCCGCGCCGTTTGGTTCATGGGTTCTAATTGAAAATTTTGAACCAACTTTCAAATTTTAATGAGAGAAAACGCTGTAAGCAAATGGTTTAAATTACAGTTCAAACTGCACACCAAATGCAACATTGGTGATGAAGTCACATGGTTACTCAACAAGATGCAATTCAAAGTGTTTTTTTGCTTGCTCTTGCCTTGGTCTACTGTTTGACACAAAAGTGAACATAGGGCTCATGCTCACTCTTGGTTACTAAGCATTCCAAAACAACGGAGCAAAATTTTTTTTTTTTTTTAACAAGCTTCCCCTACCCCCAAACTTAAAATCAACATTATCCTCAATGTTGCAAAAGAGCAAAGAGGGTACAGAACACTCCTAATGTTCATTCATTTTCTTATTATACTTTTCCTTTTTTTTTTAACAAATACAACACCAAAATTTTCATAACACCACCCTTCCTCCCATATACTAACACTGCTCAATGTGTCCTAGAATGATTAACATGCTTATGAGTGAGGGGTAGAAAATTGGAAATTATTGAATAGGCTAGGCTATAGATGTGGGTAACAAAGAAGGGGGTATAAGTAGGCTCAACGGGGTATACTAAGGATAAAACATGTCAAGGTAGGCTCAAAAAGCTAAAATGGTCCAAAGATTGCCTAAATCATTTCCTTGGTGAAGTGTTAATATAAGATTTCACCTTAAGATTGCATCGAGCAAGTTCTAGAGCTTGTGAGACCTAAGAATAAAACACATTTACACAATCTTTCACTAGAAATTCAGTGAATCAATAACACTAGGCTAAGTGCTTAAATGAAGAAAATCACAATCTTTCAATAAGACTATCAATTGATTCTAAGCACAAAACTAAGTATAAATCATCCTTTTCTAAAAGTTATGCTCAAACCAATCACATTCATCATGGGCCCAAGAGAATTCACCACAAAAACACACCAAACATCAAGAAAACACAAGACTCTAATTTTTTTTAAAGATGCAAAAACAAACAAAGATATATACAAAGACAACCAAAGTTCTCCCCCAAACTTATCAAGCACAATATCCTCAATGTGTAGGCAATCAAGAACACAAGGAAAGATTTAAGAAACTCCCCTATGTCAATTTGGTGCTTAGGCCTCAATGCTTACTCGCTCTCTTGAATTGAATCCATTCCTGAAGCTTCGACGCTTGCACCTACAAAAGAGAAACACTAAAACAAAGTAAAAAGCTCTAAAAAATAAAAACTAAAACTTGAGAGGAAGGAAAACAAGAAAATATTTAGAAAACTTGGGTTGCCTCCCACGGAGCGCTTGCTTTAACGTCTTCAACCGGACGTTTAGAAAGGCGCTCATTAAAGAGCATCATTCACCCATAGTAAGTGTCATACAACACTACAAATGGATATTTGATTACGATGCCCTCAAGCTTGGCATGATTTTTAAAATTTAGGCACATTGCACCAACAAGATTTGGCTTCGGGAGGTGATAGGCTTGATTGGAGAACTTCATTTTTGGTTCAAGCTCATAAAGAATGCAGTATGGTGGAGGTGATGATGACGACCAAAATGGGTCGGATGGCAGTGTGCATGTTAGAACGATTGATGAGCTCAAGTCAACGATTTCTTGTGTTTTTTCATCCTCCAACGACAACTTTTGTGCCTCCTTCATGATTGGATTCAATCTTTTTTGACCTTCTATGGACCCTTTTTTATCATCCTCAAGTAGAATCTTGTGCATGCAAAATGAGGGACTAATACCCTTTATGTCCGCTATTGTCCAACCAATGGCCCCTTGGAACTCCCTTAAGACCGTGAGCAGCTCCTCCTCTTGATCCTTTGTAAATACAACAGAAATAATGACAGATAGGGTGGAAGATGCCCCTATGTAGGCATACCTCAAATGCGGCGGCAAAGGCTTAAGCTCTAGGACTGGTGGTTCTTCACTTGATGGCTGGGATGGCTTGTGTTCACATTCTGGCAAATTCAAATACTCAAACTTCCTTGTAGAACCCGGCATTGTTGAATTGGCTTCCAACCACTCTATTTACGCAACAACTTCTTCCTCAATTGAATGTGACATGTTCTTCATGTACCCTCATGGTTAGTTCTCCTATCTGTACATCAACCAAGGTGAGACCAGTAGCAAGAAATGGCCTTCCCAAAATGATTGGCACTTTTCTATCCACCTCATAGTCAAGAATGATTAAGTCAGCAGGAAAAATGAAATTATCCACCTTTAGTAGCACATCCTTAATCTTTCCTTCGGGGAGTGCAATAGATCTATTTGCGAGCTGCAAAGACACTGTAGTAGGCCTTGCTTCTCCAATTCCCAACTTCTTAAAAATGGACATCAGCATCAAATTTATACTAGCTCCCAAATCACATAAAGCCTTACCAAAATATTGGTTTCTAATTGAACACGGGATCTTGAAACTTCCCGAATCCTTCAGCTTGGGAGGGAGATTATTTTGCAATATGGCATTGCATTCCTCTATCAAAGCTGCCATTTTGAATTCTCTAAGCCGGCTTTTTTTGTAACCAAGTCTTTCATGAACTTAGCATAATTTGGCATTTGTTCCAGGGCTTCCACCAGTGGTATATTTATGTGGACGTACTTCAAAACATCAAAAAATTTGTGAAATTGTCCCTCTTGTTGCTGCCTTTGAAAACGCTGAGGAAATGATGGAGGTGGTCTGTTGTTCTGGTTTCTGCCACTCCAGAATGCTGTGAAAATGTTGTTATTTTCTGCAGTACAGAGTCTGGTTGTTAATTCCTCAACTGTTCTTCTTGTGGCTGAGTTTAATTCTCCTCCTCTTGGATTGAAGTGGGCTCTGTCTGCACAGCATAAGGTCTTGTTCTTGGCTCCAGCTCTTTTCCACTCCTTAATGAAATAGCCTTACACTATTCTTTTCCTTCTTTTCTTAGATCTTTGGTATTACTTGGGAAAGAACCTTGAGGCTGGTTACTCAAAGCATTTGCGATCTGCCCAATCTGATTTTCTAAACTCCTCAACGTTGTATCATAAGTTTTAATCCTAGCATCATTCCTTGCTATATATTCTTTTAGCAAATTCTTCAAGGAGCTAGATTGATCCACGGTTTGAGTTCTCTGTTGTTGAGGGGGATACCATGGTGGATGAGTGGGTCGGTGATAGGCATTGGCTCCACAAAAACTTGCCCCTTGGTTCCTCCGTTCAAAGTTTGGATGTTATCTTAACCCTTGATTGTGAGAGTTTGAATATGGGTTGTTGTTCCTGTTGAAGTTACCCACATAGCAAGCAGAGGCTGGATTGGAAAGGCAATCTTCATACAGGTGCCCATCTCTATAGTAAACACATGTGACACCAGCGACTTGCACCGAATTTATACATGCCGACATATTCATTATTTTTAGCATATTTGTCAAGGATGACATTTGTGTCGATAGTACAATGATGGCGTCGACTTCATGAATTCTTGTAGCCTTCCTAGCATTAAGTCTCTCGGTTGGCCATTGATAATTATTATTGGTCATCTTCTCCAAAATCTCATAAGCCTCATTGTAAGACTTGGCCAAAATAGCTCCATTAGTTGCGGCATCAACTATAGTACGTGTTTGCCCATTGAGCCCACTATAGAAGTCTTCATTTGAATCCAATGAGGGATCCCATGATGAGGACATTTCTGCAATAACTCTTTAAATCTTTCCCGTGTTTCATACAAGGATTCCTCATCTGCCTGTTGGAATGAGGTAATGTCGTTTCTGAGCTTGGCATTCTTGGTAGGAGGGAAGTATTTCATGAGAAATTTCTCTCCCAAATTGTTCCATGTGGCCACTGAATCCAGTAGCAAAGAATTCAGCCACACTCTAGCTCTATCCCTCAAGGAATAAGGCAATAATTTTAGCCTTAAAGCCTCCCCTGTCACCCCTGGTAGCTTGAATGAGTCACTCATTTCCATGAATAACCGAAGATGCATGTGGGGATCTTTAGTTGGCATGCCACTAAATTGGCCCACAGTTTGCAACATTTGAAACATGACTTGTTTAAGCTTAAACTGAGGCACATGTATTTTGGCCTGATGATACTTGAGTTAAGCCCATGTAAAATAGGCACGGCATATTCTCTTATGGCCATATCCTTATCATCTACCAAGGCTGGTTAGGGAACATGATTGTTGGCATTTACTTGCTGCCCATTATTGCCCACATTCGCAGCTGCTCCCTCTGCCATACCTTCGACAACAGCCAAGCCTTGCTGCTCCCTTCTCCTAGCTAAAAATGTCTTTTCAATCTCTAGATCCAAGGGCAGCAACTCACGGTCTCACTGATTATTCATGCAAAGAATTCCAAAAGCCTGAAAGTGACCGCAAGTCAAGAGAATGAGAATAAAGTAAACAAAACAAAAGCAAAATAACTTCTACAAATACTTTCAATGATTTCAATCCCCAGCAATGGCGTCAAAAACTTGTTGTATGAATCTGCAAGTGCACAGATCGTACGAGTAATAAAGTGTACCGAAGTACAGATATCGTCCCACAGAAATTGAATCACAAAAAATAAAGTATAGAAGTTACGCAAACAACAATTCAAGTAAATTTAAAAACTGAACAAAAATTCACTAAAATGATGTAAAGGAATGGGTACTAATTAAATGCAAGCAAGCGTTACTAAAAATAGCAAGAATGTATTTATGGTTTGTAAATATGTGATTTAAATGAGTTAGTTCTACTAATTTCCCCTCAGTTGCAACTCTGCCAGAAAATGTTACCGAAATGCTACAACATTTACTACCCTTATTAATAGAAACCCCTTTACTGCATAAAATTCTTCTGAATTAATTATGACCAAGATTCTTTAAACCATTTTCAGCATATTCCTATGTGAATCTAATTCTCAAAATGTAGATCTAAGCTCAGGTTTCTTTGGGTTATGCAAGGTGAATAATATATCCTTATATCATTCACTAATCAACAACTAAAACAAGATTATTGAACAAGCATCATCCATGTTAGATCCAACTCAAATTAACCTTTCCAGTATTAATCTAAGTCTAGTATCATATAATTGATGGCTAGTCAAGCATAGAAATAAGCATTAACACACATGAATGAACATGAATAATAATTCAATAGCATTTCATAAACAAACTTTCATCCTTACAACTTCGGTTTCATTAGCAGGCATAGCTAAAACAAATTAGTTCATACTAAGATTTACAAGAACCAGATTTCCAAAATAATCCATGTCTTAATCAATATCAAAATAACAGAAGAATCAAGCTAACGGAGAGAAGAAAGAATGATAAGTTAGAACTTGGATCTTCTAGAATTTCTCCTTGTCCTTCTCTTCGGGTCTTCCACTTAGCTGCTCTCTCTCTTGCTCTTTCTCACGTCTCTATTATTTTCAATTTATGGCTCTCGTGCTGTGTGTTATTCTTTTCTCCCTCTTTTCTTATGTACTTGGCGGCCGCTTGCTTCCCTTGGAAAACAAGTCCTTCTAGGGCAACAAAAAGGTTGTGTAATTTGACAAAAGGTACAATGGTCCACACTGCTGTACAGCTTAATCAGTTCACATGGGGTTTTATCCTTTTCTTCTAGGTAGTGCACTGATGTCATCCCACTTGCCAGCTGCACCTAAAATGTTGCGGCAGAATGCTACTGCTTTCACCCTGCAATTTGCAATACCAAAACTTAGACATATTTCAGCCTCTTTTTGACTCAATTTACTCCTTAACCTAAGAGCAGCACAAGTACAAAATTTAGCAAGACAAAATGTAACCTAGAAAATCTAAGTTAAAACATTGAAGAAATAATGAAATACACCCTTGGCTAAGCAACTTTAAGCTAAAAATGCATAAGATAACTCTAATTTCTTAGAGTTATCAGATACATCTTGGAAGATTCTTGTGAAAAGATACCAACTTTAGCAACATTCAATTCTCAGGAATCCTATACGGAAAGAATCAAGCGTTTGATATCAAACATAGTTCAATCTGCTACCATATCTCAAGGATTACCTCAATCACGATTTTTTCCTCAATTTTCTCATAACCGTTAGAGATAACTAGCTGGGTTTCCTTTCATAACCTGTAATCTGCTCTTGGTTGTTGGGAACCAAATCCATGTAAATTAATGTATTTATTCGTTTCTCTTTTTGATCTCTCGTGTATTGTATATATAAAGGCATCCTTCATGTGTCATCAGACACATAGAAAAACAGAAATATTAGTCAAGTGTATTTCATTTTCAAATCTTATCTTCTGGAAGATTGAAGTCTTGAAGACCACTCTACTATAGTTTCCTCTTAATCTCTACTCTTTTTATTTTGATTTTAATTTGAAAATTGTAATTGTGATATTGTGACGACATGGTTACTTTTATGATTTTCATGATGATTATGATCATGGATTTGATCATGTGTGGCTAGATTTCTAATCTAGGGCCTTGATGTAGCTAGCTTGAACTATGTTGTGAATATTTAGTTGGTTGTTAATGAAGTCTTGACTCAATCATTTGTGTTTCTCTTGAACTTAATGCCTCTAGTTGATTGGAAAATAGACTAGTTTCTTTGATATTTGGGTTGATGCTCAGGAGAGATTAGTGTGAATATCGATATAGGGAAGCACAATCGAATGTTGTTGTGAGACCGGGAGGTGATCATCATGTAGGTAATCGTTATGAGAATCTTAATAATTGTGAGACTAGGAGGTGATCAAATGCTTAGATAATCATTGAAATGTTGAGCTTAATGAATGTGTTTATACCCAAGTTAAATAGGGATATTGGCTTGTTTATTTGCACTGTTGTCTTACTTAACGCTCGGGGGAGGTAGTGAGACTTTTTTAGAAACGTTATATTAATGAATTGAGTTAAATTAATTAGCAATCACTAAATATGAAGATATAGTGAGAGCAAAGCGAAGTCAAGACCCCAGAACTCTATTATTATTTTTATTTTCACTCATAGTTTCGATATTTAGTTACTTATTTTGTTAGATTTTGTATTCTAGCTTTAATAGTTAAATTACTTAAATCACTCGATTTTTGTCGCTAAGATAAAATTTAGTCACGAACACTCACGGAACGTAGTTTAATTCTTGAAAATTTAATTCTTGTGGGACAATATTTGACTTTTTAATCACTTTATTACTTTTGCGACCCATACACTTACGGAAAATTTTGCAACAAAAACTAATTATTTTAATTTCTTTTAAAAACTGTCTTTGTAATAGAATCGAGGGTGAAATTATCATTGGACTATAACTGAAGTATAAAATCATAAAATAGAAACAAAATACCCTTTAAGCATGGCAATTAAAATGCGTGGGTAATAATTTTCCACATCGCACATTAATTTTAATTAGTCATATGAAAAGAAAAGACTTCACTCTAACGTTTCCATCACGTGTTTTTTTAATGTATAAATAAATTAAGGTCTCGTTCATTTTACCGATTTGAGTTTAGAATTTGAGTTTTATTACAGTAAAAAACTTTTAAAAATAATCACATTTAACTTTTTTATTACAATAAAAATCTCTCATATAAAATTATATTTTAACTCAAATTAAAAATTTAAATTAACGAATTAAATGGACCTGAACCCCAGTGCGTCTACTGTCCAGTACTAGGGTTCAATCAAAATCATCCACGTAACTTGCTGTACTTTTACATAAATGCATATAAATTTGGTTCAACATGTTTCATTATTTATTTAGTCAGCTCACCTACCTTATCCTATCTACTATCTTCCAACGTGCTTTGCATGTGTAAATATAGTCACCAACCTTCTTTGTCCTAAGTGTAAAAGAAAACGTTGGATTCTTAATCCATCGTGAATAATTATGTGTTATAAATTATTATATAAGGTTAAATAGTCTATTAAAGTTTAAATAATTTAGGTTTTAATGTATTTAATAGGGTATTAACTTTTAATGTGTAGAGATTTAAGTGTAATTTTTATTTTTATGATAGATTAAAATAAAAATACCAAAAAGATAATAGAGAAGTTATCTATATATAGTGATCATGATCCTCATGTCACATGTGACATTTTATTCTTTCTCGCATCTCATCTATAGAGAAAACAGTGAGAAAGTTAAAGGATTCTCTAAGAAAAAAGTGTTGATCTGAAAGACAAACTGCACAATTTTAAAGAGTAATTTATCATCATAAATTTAAATATGTTTCCGCTTATTAATCTATTAATTCTCGATGATCCAATATGAATGTTTTTTAAATTTTAAGAGATGTTTTACATCAAAACACATTTTCTATAAAAAAAAAAAAAAGCCAAAATTTCACGTCACACCTTGTTAGCTAGTACTTTATAATTAACCACAAGTAATCTTTCAGCTTTGATGTTGTACTGAGATTAAAAATATGTGTGTTGGGACAACTTTTTTTTTTTTTTTTTGTCTCAAGTGCAGTATATTGACAGCTAAAAGTAGAATTGACTTGTACATATCACGCCTGCAATTAGATTGGACGATTTTATGAAATTATTGTTAGATATCACTTACGACAAGTTGTCCCAAAGCATGATTTTGAAAGCCGCAAATAGAAAAATTTGAGAATTTTAGACAATAAAAATACTGTGCTATATATGCAAATATATTACCTGTGTCCCAATTCATTAATTTGATCTTGAAGCAAATATCTACCGGGCTCCTCCTTTTTGGAAAAAAAAAAAAAAAAGAAATTGTATCGACATATTCTTTTGATAAATCTAGCACATATTAAAGATTTTATAGTTTTATTTTCTAATTGAAATTGATCATAGACCTAACAATGCAAAATATTTAATGTCAATTTATGTATCGTAATGTGGCAGATCATTTTTTTTTTAATTTAAAGGTGGTGGAATAAGGAATTCAAACACAACACATTATGGTCGAGTCAAGTGTGAAATTACCCTAAAATCAGTTGGATTATATATAAGTTGACTATATTATATATATATATATAAAGAAGTTGGTGAGACATTTTGTAGTTTAAAAGAAATTTAAATGGGTGTTAACGGTTCATGTTGTTGGTGAGACATCACATGTGTAATTGGTCTAAAATATTTTAAGAGCCTAACTTGACTTAAAATGTTAACATATTAGGTCTTGAATCCTTCTATGTATATGAATCATTTCACATCTCCACTCACTTTTCATGTGGGACAATATACACATGCACTTTAATTAACAATATCCCCCTCATATGTGTGTTCACCGAGCTTCTCCTAAACTAAAGTTTCAAGCACATCCAATCATCACATTCTAAACAGGAGCTAAATCGAGCATGGGAAAGAGAGCCGAAACCATGCAAGTCCACCAAATGTTCCACCATTCGCATTTACAACTGCAACCGAGTGTGATTGCTTGACTCAATCACTTGTTGGGGAGACACCACATGCGTAACTGGCCCAACACACTTCAGGAACCTAACTTGACCCAAAAAGTTAAGCTATTAAGTCTTAGGTCATTCCATGTATATAAACCATTTCACATCTCCACTCACTTTTCATGTGGGACAACACACACATGCATTTATCTCAACAATCTCCCCCTCATGTGTGTGTTCACCGAGCTCCCTCTAGACTAAAATTTCAAGTAGCCGACACATATAAGCCTCACACTCTAAACAGGAGACAAATTGAGCATGGAAAAGCAAGCCGAAACCATGGGAGTTTACTAAATGCTCCACCATCCGCACCTGCAACTGCAACCGAGTGTGATCGCTTGACCCGAACGAGCTATCGGCTCTGATACCACTTGTTGGGGAGACACCACATACGTAACTGGCTCAACACACTTCAGGAACTCAACTTGACCTAAAATGTTAACCTATTAGATATTAGGTCCTTCCATGTATATAAATCATTTCACATCTCCACCTATTTTCTATGTAAGACAACACACATATGCACTTTTCTCAACACATGTGGAAGAAAAATCGTCAACCAAATAAAAAATACTCATTTATTTTTGACCGGTGGAAAATTTAAACTTTTAAGCGAAATTAAAAAAAAATGTAAAAGTGCTTTGGTCGGTTGGTTCTTGTAAGTTGAATAATATTCACGCACCCAAAAATGAGTAGCTCATGTAAATTAACTTCAATTCTTTTTATGTGTTTTTAATTAATAGTTGCAAATTTTACTTAAGCATACAATTAATAACATTATGTTATGAAGAGGATGTCATGTATTTTCTTAAGAAATTTATAAATCAGTTATGGTGATTTTTATTGGTTTAGTAGTTTAATGTATCTATAACTAATAAACGAACCAATGAAAAAGAGACTTGCAAAACCCAGTTAAATAATCAAATCAAAAACGAAATATTTTGGTTTGGTTTGGTTAATTAATTGTAGAATACGATAAATTTGTATCAGCAAATAATACTACGTTAGAGAGTATTTTTTATATTCAAATGTCAAAGTTACAGTTAACATATCATTAATAGCATTACATTAGAGACTCCTATGCCAACTTGATATTGTTAGGTAAGTGCTCAAATTAGTTTTAGAAAAGTAACAATTTTGTGTTTTTTGGTTAAGTTACTATTTTCTATTTTTAGGCAAAGGTTATTATGAGTCTATAAATAAGTGTTTTGTGTAAGATTTTTTGTGTACTAAGAGAAAAGTGTAGAGACATAGTGCCTCCTTTTGTGAGAGAGAGAGAAAAGTGATGAGAGAGATAGGTAAAGGTGTAAGGAGTTTTGGGTAGAGACCGAAGGTGAGAAAGTTTGTTGAGTGTATAACTCTGAAACTGTTAATAAATTTTTTTCTCTCTTCTGTGGATGTAAGAAATTTTTCTGGATCACATATAAATTTTTGACTTCTCTATTTTTCTGTTATTTTGTTTCAATTTATTTTTTTACTGCGTAGATGTAGAGGTGTGTTTTCTCCCATATATTTAGTTGGTAGATGTTGACGTGAAATATAATGATTTAAAAATATAATATCAAGGCCAACAAAAGATAAGTCGCAGAGAGAGGTGTGGAGAGGAACAATTATTACAAAATAGTGTATGTATTAAATGATATCGGTAAACAAATTTAATGGTCATTACTGAGCTGACTTGTGTAAAATAAATAAACAAATATAAATAATTCCATATTGTTGGCGAGTATAGTAACTAAAGAAAAAAATCAGAATCAGATAAGAATAGAGCACAAAGAGTAACATGTGTTTCTTTCGCAGAAGAATTACAGTGCACACGTTTTTTTTTTTTTTTTTCCTGTTAT